CATGCTAAACTTCATTATGTCAACACCATAGAATCCGGGCTAAATAAAGGTTTCTTTGCCATCTCACCAAAAATAAGGGCACCATTGACATCTATTCCACAAGGATGAGATAGAACAGCAAAAAGTGCCTCGATTATTTTCAAGCTCAAATGACCTATTAAAAAAGCTTCAACAACATTGAACATTGCTGCAGGACTCAGTGCAAGACGATATTCGCGAAAACCTCTTGCCAACTTTGTGGCCCTTGTACACACGCGCGCTGAGCTAATGTCACATATACCGGGTTAGAACGCAATATCGTAGCGATTGCTATCAGCACAAACGTTAGGCTGATGTCATAGTTTGCGAATCGAGCGATTCGCTAGCGAATCGCTGGATCCGAGCGTTGCGCCAGCGAATCGAACGCGCCAGCGAATCGAACGATGCACCAGCGACTCAGCACTGTTTGAAGTGGCGGGACCCAACGTTCAAAGGAAGTTCCGCCACTTTCAAAGGGCCACACCGTGGACACTTTCAAACGGTGTGGCCCTTTGAAGTGAACTTCCTTTAAACGCTGGGTTCCGCCACTTTCAAACAGTGTCGAGTCGCTGGTACATCGTTCGACTCTGGTGCATCGGTCGATTCGTTCAGGCGCAACGCTCGGATCCAGCGATTCGCTAGCGAATCGCTCAATTCGCAGACTATGACATCGGCCTTAGAATGACACATAAAAACATAAAACTAATCAGTGAAGTCCCCTTAGTCATTCCTAACGAATATGAATTCATTTCGCAAGAACCCACCAAATTTGGAATTAGAAAATGAAAGAACCCGTCTTCATTGTTCAGAATTTATACGACATAAATTTGGATTAGGGCGGCAGTGGTGTAGTGGCAAGTGGCACGCTTACCACGCGAGCGGTCCGGGGATCAAATCCTGGGTCGTCCGGGCCAACCAAGCCTTCCATCCCTCCGGGGTCGGTTAATTGGTACCAGACTTGTCTGGGAGGATGACTTGTACATCGGCTGGCCCCCGCAAGTCATTGTATATAGGCCACATCATTCAAACGCCACTACGAATGTACAAATGGAAGTAGAATGCGTGCCGCATCCCAATGGGACTGATCAACGGAGAATTGGTAACTTCGGTTGGAGAAAGATGTGGTGAGGGCGAGAAAATCAGAAGAACTCCCACTGAAGCAGCTCTTTTCTTTATGGAATGTATCGATTGCTTTGATTTTCCCGATTTCTGGCGCCTGGATCTCAAAAATTCAGAGAACCTACCTGAGTACGTTCATGATAATGAAAAAAAAAACGAAAAAATCCGTAAAAACGTTTACAGTCGTTTATCACACGCCGAAAACGGCCGGAGTCACTGGGCAAAATCGAATGCTTTCCACAATTCTCCGCAGTTCTTCACGCAATCCTGGAACCCCGTGAATGAGAGAATCTCATTTGTCATCCTTCAATGGCGTCGCGTTAGTCATTCCGAGTCGCAACATTTGCATTCTTCTTCTACTGTGGTGCATAGCAAAGTACCGCATGAATTAAACTGAAGCATTTAAAAGCGATTGGAGTGGAGGAGTTCCATTAGTTGCTTCATTCCTAAAGTAAACCCCGACATTTTTGCATAGAAACACGCCAGTAAAGATAACGTTCTTCCAAAAATTGCCTTCTTTGTCTTCGTAATTCTCGTGCACGCTCTCCTTCCCGAAAAAATATGAAGTTCAATTTTCAGAAACGAGAAAAAACCATGAACTCAGCTCTGTTTGCTGGCCTTCTGGTGCGTTTTTGTAAATAAAATTCTCAATCGGACAAGACCTTGTTCGATCTTGACCAATCTTTACTAAATTTTTCAGGCTCTCGCCTTGGTAGCAACGGCATCAGCGTATTATTACGACTTGTGCTATAAATACAACATATGCAAATAAGACAATTTCCTCATTGTAATCGATAAACAGCTTTTTAATGCAAACCTGTGAATAAAAAACACGAGTGCACAGATGTTCTCAGAAATTTCCACGTGCAATGCCATGTATGCCAAATCCCTCACCACTTCACCCGCATCATGCTAGCCTTAGACCTTGCTTATTCAGCCCCATTTTACTCCCCCTTGTCTCCGCTTCTTTCCTCTCACACGCTAGCATTCACCCAAACCTTTTGAATTATAAGCTTTGAAGGCATCTGAAAATCTCTGATAACGCTGGGTTACAAATGCTAAATCATCCTGTACCAGAGTGCTCCAGGTTTGGTTTGCATCCATCTGCGAGTGGAATCCACGGAATAGCAGCATGACGTACTCCATTAACCACCTCACTATTGAATGTGTTATACCTCCTTATACCCCTTCTCTCCGGCGCATGGCAGCAGCCATGTTCTCCCTCCCTTTCTCCTCTTTCCCCCTCCCCTACCGCTCCCGACTCCGGCTGCCTAGCAACACCATGTAGAATGAGTCTAGTGGCTCTTCCAATGTGGGTGTTATCACAATCACCACATCAGATTAGAATAATACGTCAACATGATATAGACCTTACTCTTGAAAACGGTCGTTCTCTCTCAGTCTCTCTCCCCCACCTCCCCCCTCCTTATACCCTCCTCTCCGGCGCATGACAGCGCCATGTTCTCCCTCCCTTTCTCCTCTCCCTTCCCTCCCTCATTCTCTCTCTCTTTCCCCCTCCCTTCCAGCCTCCCCTTTCTTGCCCTCTTCCCCCTCCAACCCCTCCCTCCCCCCCCCGCTCCGGCTGCCACGGCAGCACCATGTAGAATGAGACTGAGTGTGCTCGATCGGTGTTTATATAGCCGCTGTGGTGTTATCATGATCATGACATCAACATCTCGAAGTGTTGCCCTTCGTACTCCCTGGTTTTGTGAGCGGTTGGTCCGGACGGACAGAACGACACACACACACACCGACACACCGACACACCGACACACCAAAGTTCTGGTTTATATAATGAAGTGATGGTGAGTAGAGACGTCTTCCCTAAAATTACCACAGAAAGGCTATTTTCTGGCCAAGCGAGCTTTTCCACTTTCAGGACCTGTAGTTTCATTTCCTCGCAACAAGTGGTTGCAAAAACTAGTAGTCTCCAAGTTCTCTCTTCGCAGAACCTCGGCATCGTTGTTGAATTCTGTGGTTTTCTTCTGCCAACGAGGTTTTTAGGTGACAAATTTATTAGCGGCCTGACGTTTCGACCCGATCGTCTTCCTCAAAGGCCAGTCTGCCACCGCAAGAGCGGAACAATGCCGCTCCAGTTAGTAATGGTTAGCGAATCTAGTAAAAAACTAGTAGCGTTTCTTTAACTCTCTCCTGAAAGTTCTGGGAATATTCAAGAGAAATGGCCCTCTCGCGGATCTTTGTCCGAGTACCACCGAGCAGGGTTCGCTAGGTGCAAAACTTTGTACGATCGTGACTTTATCCGAATGTAGTGATGTGTAAAACTGAAAACGGAGTTGGAACTCCCGGAAAGTTCTATTTTCAAGAACTGCACTTTTTTTGAAAGGTTTACATTCCCAATAACGCACTCATTGAAAGAATAACGCGAGGGCGTAATTACTGCTACGCACTGTATTATTTTTCAAAAGGAAACGATCGAAACCGTACGAGATACCTCTACAACTTTCAGTTTCGTTGCACTGAACACAAGTAGAAGCACTGAACGTTGATCGGTCTCGCGCAGTGGTGCGCCATGAACTCGCACATTCATTCTGGATCGTAGATCCCCTGAACGGGACCATGTTCATTTTGCAACTTGTACGGTAGTCTTTGTGCTCCTACTCCTATTAAGACCATAGCGGCCTAAAACAGAGTCAGCGGCATTGAGAATTCTCGACTATAAGGGGATTCGTGCTAATATTGATCAGTGCTTTGCGATACCGAAGAACGATATGAAGTTGAAATAATTAAAGGCAA